CAGTAGTTTGGTTCATGAGAACAAAAGAACACGGTGAACCGTGGAACATAAAAAAGGCCTGAATGTCCTCAGCAGACAACAGCGGTGGATGATTGCAGGACTCTTTGCCAACATCTAAACATGTGATAAACTCTCTAAGGGAGGCAGGTATCTCCAGCCATGTCAGCTGTAATATATATATATATATATATATATATATATATATATATATACAGTGCCTTGCGAAAGTATTCGGCCCCCTTGAACTTTTCAACCTTTTGCCACATTTCAGGCTTCAAACATAAAGATATAAAATTTTAATTTTTTGTGAAGAATCAACAACAAGTGGGACACAATCGTGAAGTGGAATGAAATTTATTGGATGTGTCAAACTTTTTTAACAAATAAAAAACTGAAAAGTGGGGCGTGCAATATTATTCGGCCCCTTTACTTTCAGTGCAGCAAACTCACTCCAGAAGTTCAGTGAGGATCTATGAATGATCCAATGTTGTCCCAAATGACTGATGATGAGAAATAGAATCCTCCTGTGTTTAATCAAGTCTCCGTATAAATGCAAAAGAATGTTTACCACAAAGTCCAGATCATTCATACCTAATAATATTAATACTCTTCATCTGAACATCTGTTTGAAGAGTTTCAGTCAGGGTTTAGAGCTCACCACAGCACTGAATCTGCACTGGTGAAAGTTACTAGTGATATTCTCATAGCCTCAGACAATGGGCAGGTGTCTACACTGGTCCTGTTAGACCTCCGTGCTGCATTGGATACAGTTGATCACAATATTTTAATATTTTATTACAGAGACTTGAATATGATGTTGGAATTACAGGAACAGCACTAAATTGGTTTTAATCATATCTATCTGATAGATTCCAATTTGTAAATGTAAATAATGAATCTTCATCATACACCAAAGTCAGTCATGGAGTTCCTCAGGGTTCAGTGCTTGGACCAGTACTCTTTACCTTATATATGCTTCCATTACGTAAAGTTTTTAAACAGCATGGGATAAATTTTCATTTTGCTGATGATACAGTTATATTTGTCCACTTAATCCAATCAGATACTTGGACTATAAGCTTGTCTTAAATACATATAAACCTGGATGACCCTTAGTTTTCTGCTTTAGAATACAGACAAGACTGAGGTTTTGGTTTTTGGACCTGAGCATCTTAGGAATAATTTTTTCAGTCTTTCGCCCTCCTTGGATGGCATTAATCTGGCCTCCAGTTCTAATGTTAAAAATCTTGGTGTTATTTTTGATCAAACCCAGCCGGTTGAAGCAGATGGCCGCTTGTCCTGAGCCTGGTTCTGCTGGAGGTTCCTTCCTCATGAGGGAGTTTTTCCTTTCCACTGTTGCCTTTAAGCTTGCTCAAGATGAAGTTAAACTCAAAGCAGTCTGCTCCTCAGATAAATAATGTTAACTTACTTTTATATTTTTGTTCATTGCCCTGAGATGACTTCTGTTGTGACTTGGCATTATAAATAAAGTGAATAGAATTAATAATATTAGAAAGGAGAGGTTAATCCAGGCTGCATCAAGTTGTCATCAGCTATTCTGGATCATAATCTCATGCAAAGCCTTGCTTCTAAATAATATACCATCAAGCCCGTAGAAACAAAACCATTGTTCTTGTTTTTGTGCTCCATGTTTATCTCCCGACAGCCCATAACTTTTATTACAGCGTTAAACATTTCACACTTGCCGTCCACATTTGCTCACGCCAGTTTGCCGAACGAGTGCGTAAATAAAAAGAATTGTTCCCTCTTGACGAGCTTCTTCTCCAGGGGTCGGGCGGTTAAGAGGCCCGTCTGACTGTTACAATTTATGGGCACCTCTTTGAAAACACTGGAGAGTTGTGAAGCCGTGGTACCAGTTTTGTTCTCGGTGCTACAGCTGTTTTTACTGTCACGGCCGTAAAGCTTCCCCCTGGGAAGGGAGAGTCTAGAAAAGGAGTGATGTGAACAATGATTTGTCATATAGCTTTGAGACAAGCCTGGAGAAAATAGGTGTGTGTGTCTGTGTGAAATCGCAGTGGGAAGTCGAAATGAAGACAGCCAAGGAATCACATCTGTGCATTTAATGTTCCTGCCACGGATAATCCTAAACATTGCCTGGATCTCTCTTTTCCTTTATCTAATTTAGGTTGGTTTTACCCTTTACTTGCTTCCTGTCACATTAGTTTGTTGGAGCCAATACCTCTAATATTGGCTGCTTTGGAGAGCTTTCCAATGTAATCAGGAGCAATGGGTTTTGTTCCCCCAACAGCTCAAAATCACCTAAATCCTGAAAAACGTGGCGTTTTTCCCTCCCTCTCCTTTTAGTATGAAGAAGTTGGGAAGTTTGAGTGTTACTTCTTTGTCATGAATATTTACCCCATCACCCATTAGAAGCGTAACCAAGGGCGATGTGCTGTGGCTGGATGCTGATAAATATGTGCTCTACATGCTGCAGTAATCCTGCATGGCCCAATTATAGCGATGCAACAGAAGCGTGGTAATCCGTTTGCTCCTCGTGCTTCAGGAAAGTTATCGGGAAAGGTCGAGCGCTCCACTCTGTGAGAAAGGAGCTCAGCCAAGGAGAAAACCAAGTGTCACTTTTACTTTCTCCGATTTGTCAGTGCGTGTTGGAGCATTGCGCCCAGAGTCTGCTGCCATGCTCTTTGGCACCGAGCTGCCTTGAGATGCTGCAGCTCGTGTTGCGTCACGTTTCTTCTATCAGGTGCAGGTGTTGTGGAAGACATAGCTTCAGTCTGAAAACTTCCCACACATTTTTTTGTTGTTCTTTCTCTCTAACATAAATAACAGCTGGTACTTTGCCCTGTCTTTTCACTTTTCTAAAGTAAAAAAAATAATCAATTATCACAGCAAAAGTGATGCACCGTCTCAGACACTGTGCAGATTTTATAGGAGTGTCTCTCAGTAACAGATACAAACATCTTACTTTTATCCAAAGGATATAATGGCATGCTGTTGTTTTAGGTCTTACCTTTATCTTTTATACCAGAGCACATGTATGATCAGACTGAATCCATTTTTACATTAAAAACACACCTAATTAAACTCTGTAGATCAATTTTATATAATCTCATCGGTTTGGTTTTCATATATAGAGTCTGTGACATCCCTTTTTTATAATAAATTTGAATGTGTCTTTGGAAAAACAAATATTTATAATATATCCCAAAATAAATTTCACGCCGCTGAGGTGAACGGTTGTTGGAATATTTGCAGGCACAGCAACAGGAAGTGATGAAAAAACAATGGAACTGAGCATTGCTACAATAGTTAACACAGAAAGTAGAGAAAAACGGAAGTTTCTTTAAATTATTTTGAGTCGCTATCAGAGAGATGAATCAGAGTTGATAAAAAATTGTTTCAATGAAAACAGACCAGAGTTCCCCTTTGATGTCACTTCCTGTTTCTCTTTGGCTGCACCAAGTTAAAAGAAAAAAAATGCTAATTATGTGACAAAATGTGTAAAATCATATTATGCCACATTTTTAAAGATTCTCTCTATAACTTTGTTTTTGTAGGATATGGATGTTACGAGCACTTTAAAGAGTTAAAGCTGAAACTAACAAAATGAGGCCTAGCATAAGGTTGTTCCTTTCATTTTAAACTAAAACGAGTCAAGAAATGAAGGAGTTACAGCTGTTATGATCAAATCTTGAAAATAACGAGCTCACTCACCGTCACTTATTTATTGTAAATGTACATCAAATGATAATCTTTTGAGTTTCATTAAAATCTTATGTATTTTGCTAAAGCTGCAGACACTTGGAAATGAATAACATTACCCCCACTCAGCCTTCAGTGGTGGGCGATAAAAGTTTATACTGTAATTCATAAACCCATGTAACTCCAACTAATGGTACACAAATTTTAAAGATTAAAAGGCATTTGATGCTGAAGGAATTAACAGAATTTTTTTTTCTGAGGAATACAGAAAATCCCAATATTGGTTTATACGCGTTTATAAAAAAAGGGATGATCACCGTTTGTTGAAATTCCTGGTTTTGGCCATCATGTATTTCCTGCGGAGAGGAAATCGTTTTATTTTAATGCTAATTTATTCAATAGTTGTTCGAGACATTTGGTCTGGAACAAAAAGCGCAACCAGTGTTCCTTCATCCCCCGGAGCCACGCTGCCATGACAACCACGCAAATCTGTTGTGGGTTTTCAAAAAAATATCGTTTTTATTTCACATGAAAATCTTTCACATTTATCAAACTCGGCTTTCATATAATCTCTATATATTTACATGGAAATATGCACATATTTTACATTTTTCTTACTTACACATGTACAAAAGTAGGCAACAAGAAATCGGGTTAAAAAAAAAATGGTGGTAGACATACACAACTGTGCTTTGCCTGTCAGTTGAAAATGAGCTTAGCAACTCTGTTGGATGCAGTGCCTCGTCTGTGAACTGGTGACTAGGATATTAAAAGCTTTAAACTCCTTTTGTTTTCATATTTTAAATCGATAATTTCAAACCAGCTCGTCACGTCATGGGGCAACAAGCAGAGAAGTCCAGCCTCTCTGCAACACGTCAGTGTTTGCTTTTGGCAGAAAAAAAAAAAGCATTTTGTCTCACTCAGTTCAGGCACACCCTCCCATATTCACACACACATCCCCGTTCACACAAACTACCTCCACCTCTGGAGACAAGAAAAGTCCTGCCCATCAGTAAACATTTCATTTTGCGAGTGCATGTACAATAAGACCTCTCAGCTGCAAATCTCATAAATTATCTTCACAGAATGTACAAAAAAAGTGTTGGTGTGGGTCTGTGTGTAGCAGCAGTGTGCGTACTGTGTGCAGTGTTAGTACTACAATGTGTTAGCCCATGGTCTGCAACGGAGAACCTGTAAAAAATGCTACATTTAGAGAATCACGTGAGACACCAAAGCCACTCGGTAACAATAATACAAGTAGTACACAATACTCAAAGGTGGACTAGAGTACACGTTGGAGAGGGGGCTGATCTTTGGCTCTTAAAGTTTAATGCTGATTTATTAAGCATCCAAGTCAAAGTTTGCCTTCGTGCTCCTGATCACTTTAGGTCCGTCTGCAACGTCTTCATATCTTTTGAAGCAACGTGTCGTGTTGTCCTCCAAAGCTCGTTTCCAAAAAACGTACACCTCGAGGAGAGCTTTTGTTGTTTCACGAAAAAAAAATTGAAATCTTCTGGAAAAATAGGACAAAGCACCAATATTGTTGTCTTGAACGAACATGTTGCACGAGAAAGTCTTTACTTTACAAGATTTGAAAGTTTCTTCCTGCAGCCAGCAGCAGGTATTCATTTTTTTTATACATTTAATTTTATTTTTTTTGTCAGTGTTTTCCAACTCCACAGACTGTCTTCATTGTAGTCCCTGGACAAGAAAAAAAAAGTCCTCTCAGTGCAACAAAAGCAGTAATGGGGCTAGCAAACAGAAGAACGAGAGCGACGTAGACGACGCTGCGGAGTTTGTCCGTATGCTCTTCTGAACGTTTGGCAGGATAACCACCGGGTCGTCTGCTGGAAGATGCAAAAACAACAAAAAAAGCTGCAACGTTAGTTTGCACCTCATTGTGATCCCGTATGAGCTTGCATTAGCTTACTTCTGTCAGGGATCATTACAAAGGAGCCAACATACCTGCAGGCGGTCTGTTGGAGGGGTTGTGAACACCGCCCCCTGCTCCAACTCCAGCCCCACCCTTGCCTCCGTTAGCCACTCGGGCCGCTTGAGAGCCTGAAAGAAAAGAAACACCGTCAGGTTTTCTGCTTAAACTGACCACAAATATTCTCCTTTCATCAGCTCACCGTCGGCTGCGATGACGTCCACGCGGAGCCTGAGACACTCTTGGCCGTGGTGGTGCAAAGGTTTGGCTGCAGGGAAAACAACAACAGCAACACAGGCATTAACACCCAGACTAATGCACTTATCCGCTTACACACCTTCATGCCTGCACGCATACAAACACAGACTCAATGAAATTCTTGGCAGCAGACAGGCGCAGGCACAAAGCCTTGAGAGGCCATCTGCGAGCAGACACAAAGTGTGTCTTGTCCTGCCGTTTATCTAATTACAACCATGGTCAGGATGACAAAATTGCATGACCTTTGTGCTCATTCTAAAGGAACAAAGGACTCAGAAAACTTTGAAAACAACTTGTGAATGTTAAGCTTTAAATAAATGGTGCCCCCAGCTCTTGGTCATACTTTGTTTTGAGGGTAGGATTTGCAGCCGGACAGATAGCTACGACGGAGCTTTAGGGCCACAATAAGAAAAAAAAAAAATTTAAAGCTATAAAATTATGAGAATAAAGTCGAATAAAGTTTTAATATAAGGAGAATAAAGTCATACGAGACTTTTCAAATGTGATTCTGGTCACTTCCGCTTCAGCTTAATGCAATTCAATTTTTTCAAATGTAATTCCGTTTTTTTTCTTCTTTCTTTTCCCAAATGTGATTTCGGCCACTTCCGCTTTAGCTTAATGTAATTCTGTTTTTCCAAATGTTGTGCATTTACACCTTAGGGCCACCGTACTGATGGGCTGCAGCACAGCTCTCTGCAGGGAAGGAGCACTTTAGCTTCGGATTGGTTATTTACTGACACGCCTACTGTACTGATTGACAGGTCGCGTGGTGGACTCCGACTCGTGGGGAAAAAAAAATATCGGTACACGAAAGCTGCAAAAAAAAAAAAAAAAAAGTTTCATACGACTTTATTCTCATAATATTAAGACTTTATTGGACTTTATTCTCGTAATACTAGGACTTTATTCTTGTAATTTTAGCTCCATCGTAGATAGCCTTTTGGGGCGGATTAAAATAAATTACTGGATATTTTGTCATTAGCTGATTGAAGATGGTGGAACCTGAAGCAGCTTTTCTTTTGGCAAATAATAAAATAAAATAAATTAAAAAAAAGCCTCTTTGCAGATTTGGTGCAAATGTTTTACATATTGATACAGGTGTTTATGCACTGGGACAATAAGTTTATTGTAAAACTTTTTTTTGTTGTTGGAATGCAAAAATGTTACATTTAATTAGAAAGTAAATTCTCATCCCATAATCCAACATGGTATTAACCTATCCATAAAAAAACTGTAAAATTGACCCAAAGTGTTGTTTATATAGACTTTTGTCAGCTTTAGTGTGGCGTCATTCCAGATTCCTACAAGCAACTTCAAAAGAAACTGGAATGCACGTACGGTAATTTAAATACATTTTTTTGTTAATAGTTGGGAGTGTATTACTCCCTTTGTTTATAATTACATACTAATTTATGGCCCAAAAACCAACAAAACAGACAAAATCCACAATCTTTGCAGGCTTTTGTTTAGACGCACCAAGCCAAACAAAGATTATAGACAAAGAAGCACGAGCACACTTACAGATGTAGTAGTAGCTTTCTCCTTGACGAAACTCCTTCCCAAAAGTAAACGGAGTAAAACGCTGGAACTTTTCAGAGAACTTCTCCGGAGCGTGAGGGGCAAACGGATGACTGCACTCCCAGCGCATCTGGTCATATGACTGGGCCTTGCAGGAATCGTAGTCTTCACGCTCCACCATGTAGAGTACATAGCGCTCTGGATCCAGTTGCGGCGCCTCACCCTGAGGGTAATGGGGACAGACGATGTCCAGGTAGTCGTTGAGCTTCACCTCCACGGCGTAGTTGTCCTTTTCGAACCTGCACAGAAAAGACATGGGGCAGGAAGGTTACACAAGTGGCAGAACTGAGAAGCATGGTAATAGCATTAGAGCAGTGATAAATAAGCCTCAAAACCTGTGATTATATATTGATCGGCTGCAGGCCAGAGGTAAAAGAGAGTGAGAGATGGAGAGAGAATGTTTGTGTGAGAAGATGAGTGTATTCAGGAGGAATTAAAAGAGTACAAGTGATTTGCAGAGAGTATGCACATGAGTAGCTCGCTGTTGTATTAAGAATTGGCACGGATCGATCTCTCGTCCCCTCAGAGCTGCACGATGTTTACAGAGGAACATTAGCAGTCAGCTAGTCCGCCAAGACAAGGGATGAGTATCGACAACTGCAAGGCCACGAGCAAACACTCCCACAGATGATGCATCTGAATATGCAATGGATGGAGACGGAGACACACCTGACATGTTCCAGAAATAGGAACAAGTATGGAACCATAACTGTCACATGTGTTTTAACCCATTAATTACACACATGAACACACACACACAGCATGGGTTTGGTGCGAGACTGTAACTGTCTTCCATCACATTCCCTCTCATTACAAACACAGAGACAGTCTGACTGTCTGCCATTCCTCCCTGCATCCCTCCTTTCACTCCTCCACCCTCTTTACGACGGTCGTCTTCTTTCAAAAAAACACAAGATTTGTAGCGTGCTCTACGCTGCTGCACATAAACAACCAGTGCAAATACAGCTTTAGCACACTTAACACTTGTGACTCACTCATTTATTTAAATTTATTGAAAACAAACATTGATACGATGAAAAAAAAACCAACTCGGTGCAATTTTCCGTAGCAAACATTCATATTTGCGATGCTTGTTCATTTGGGTATAAGCTTGTTGTTAAGTTAACCTAAAACTTGTAGCACTTTACAAAAATGCTTGTGGAAAATTTCATATGAACGCATCTTTTATCAATAATCCTTCATGTTCAACAGTTGTAATTGTGGACTGAATGGCCTGAGACCAAGCAGTTGGAATCTCAACCCTCTCGGGTTTCCCTCCAGAGATATTAGGATTGTATCTCCGGGGGAAATTGTCACCAAAAAGGTATTTCAGCTTCCTCCCGACTGAGCGGGTGCTCCCGGGGCGGCTCACAGCTAATGCTCTCTTCTCAGCCAAAGCCATCTATCACCAGCCCGGAGCAGTAGCTGACCGCTCACAACACACACACTTCACACTAATTCCCATCTATCAACAACATAAAGCTGTAGCTACCTACTATTTACACCCACTGAAGCCACACAGACACTTTTCCTCCCCTGGTGCATGGCTCTCAGGTGGTGTGTATCAGTTTACCATCTCTTACTGTTCTAAAGTATCAAGGGATCCCTAAAGATGAATAAAATCTGACAGACCTAAATATTTTTACAGCACACAAGAAGAATGTTTGTGTAATATAGAGTTTTGTTGATTTTGCAATGAATATGTAGGTACTCTGGCCTTTCAAGAGTTAACAAAACAGGCAGCTATCTTTTCTACAGATCTTATGACTTCTCAAGCCTTCAGGCCCTTAAAGCAATAGTTCAGATCGTTTGAAGTGGGGTTCTGTGAAAATGCTAAGAGTAAGAGTACTTCTTTGTACAGTCTCAGTTTGGAGAAATGGGATTTAATCTGGGTCGGATTGATGCGCTAAGGGTAATTTGAGTGGGTCCAATTCCAAAATGAATTTTTGTCATCCCAAAATAACTTCCAATGTCAAAACTTTTAAAGTGCCATCTATAAACACCAATTAAAAACGGTTTTGAAGTTTGCCTCACATAGTAATTTACACTGAACTCGCAGTAGTTTGTAGCGGCAGCACTTTTTGTACAACCTGGGGCAACTCCTGCAGAAATGCATTTCTATGAAACGGTGCAAAATTGACAAAAAAAAAAAAAAGAAGAAGTTATTTTCAGATTTTGACCCTTCCAAGATTAGCCATTAGCTTGTTAGTTGAGTCAGAAATTAATTATTTCTTCAAACTGAGGCTGAGGCATGTATGAGTGCTTGGTGTATATTTAGTTGATGTTTTTCTTAGTTCATATCTTAGATTTTATTACTGTTTTTCTTTTACATTTTATTGTTGGATGTAACTGGGACCCTGTGTACATAATTTCGCTCCACCACATGTACCACATGAGGTGCGAATGACAATAAAGAAACTCTGACTCTGACTGTTCAAATATCCATTTATGACAAGTAAGATCCTAATTGTTCATAAATGCTCCACAGAATCGCACTTCAAATGACCTGAAGTATTCTTTTAAAGTTATGAATTAAAA